ATATTTTCACTAAGTCTTTACGGGGACCTAGGATGGATTATCTTTGTACCAAGCTAGGCACATACGATTTGTATGCTCCAGCTTGAGGGGGAGTGTTAGATATGATTAGATATTAGTTGATATTATTTGATATTGTTGAGATATTGTTAATCACAATATCAAATAATATCTTTTATTTACCCTATTTGTATTCTGTTACTCTTTTGAGGAGTACCTTTCTTTATTATAAATATACTGTCCTATGTGTGGTAAATACACAAGGGAAATTAACCCTATACAGTTTTTCCCTATATTCAACAAACAGAATTAGAAGTAGTAAAAGGAGTGGAAGAAGTCATGAAGAGCGGAAGAACAAACCCTAAAATATCCAAAGTAATCTAATCAACCCACGAAGCATAGATCCAAAACAAGACCAAAACAAGTCTGTTGAAACTAAATGACACAGAAGACAACGGACGACCAACTTCAATAGTGGTGATCTCAATGGCATAGTGGTCGTCTGACCAAGACGAGCAAAACTGTATGTCATCAGTCAAAAATGAAACTCCAGCGACAGAGGCAGCGGTGACAGCGGCGTAAACCAGTACACCAGGTAAATTCCCAGGAAAGAAAGGTGGGTCATTAATGGACACACTTAAATACCAAGTATTTCCTTGTCAAAATCTTCCTAAACATGCACTTTCATACTACCAAATAATATCTAGTAACAAAGATAACTCTTTTCTGATGTAGAAAATCAGTTTAACCAGCAGCGGCGGCGATGGCGACTCAAGTAGTGAACAAAGGCGAAATTTTTTTTTTCAAAATAACCTTAAGCTTTAAATACCATGTTGAATATAGAGGAAATAGGGTTTGGGATTAATCTCCCTTGTGTATAAACTACACATAGGGTAATCTATTTATAATAAAGAGAAGTACAGCTAAAAGAGTAACTGAAAGTAAACAAAATAAACAGAAGATATTGTGGTTAATAATATCTAACAATATCTTATTATATCACATAATATCTAAACAATATCTAACAACTATGAATAAACGAATAAAAGTCATCTTTGCCACTGGAGAAAAAATATCACCATAGTCCAAACCAAAAATTCGTATGTAACCTTTGACCACAAGACAAGCTTTGAGACGGCCAATAGTACCATAAGGATCAACTTTGATAGCAAAAACCCACCTGCAACCAACAATAGATTTCCCAAACGGTAATGGGACAAGCTCCCAAGTTCCATTATTCTAAAAAACATTCAGTTCATCAAACATGACCTAACGCCAACCAGGATGGACTAAGGCATCACCTACGAATTTGGACGCAGAAGAAATAGACGAAAGACAGGCATAAAAAGGTGGAGATAATCTATGGTAACTCAAAGTAGTATAATGAGAGAGATACATGTAAAACATACATTTACGGAGAGCAATTGAAAGGTCAAACTCAGTTGTTAGAGCCGGAGGAGACAAAGGAGTTGGCACTAAAAGTGAGTCATTTGGTAGTTGTTGGAATCGCTTATAAACCTGAAGTAGTGGTAAGATATCTAACGACACTTAAAATAAAAGGAAGACTCATTAAAGGTGACATATCTAAGAAATAAAATAACGGTTAAGAGAAGGAGAGAAACACTTATATCCTTTTTGTGATCGAGTAAATCCTAAAAGAACCCATTTGTGTGATCTAGGAGATAACTTATTAAAACCAGAATTAAAATTATGAACAAAACATGTAGACCTAAAAACTTTTAAAGGTAAGGGATGTAGAGGTTCATGAGGAAATAAAAGAGAATGAGGAATTTTGTTATTTAAAACCGAGGATGACATGCAATTAATAAGATAACATGTAGTAAGAACATCACCCCAAAAATGTTGAAGAACCTCACCATAAATTAAAAAGTATGAGTTGTTTCAACAAGATATCTATTCTTGCACTCAACCACCCCGTTTTGTTGTGTATAAACACATGAAGTTTGATGAAGAATGTCATGAGAAGTCATAAAATGTTTAAAAAAATGATAAAGATATTCACTACCATTATCACTTTGCAAAGTTCGAATAGAAATCCCAAAATTAGTTTTAATTTCATTAAAAAAGGATTGAAATATAGAAAACATCTTAGAACGATTTTTCATTAAAAACAACCAAGTACATCTGAAATAATCATCAATAAAAGTAACAAAACACTGAAAACCTATCTTAGACTTAACACGACTAGGTCCCCAAATGTCAGGATGAACTAATGCAAAAGGGAATGAAACACGTTGTGAGACACTACGGAGAAAGGAACTACGACTATGTTTCCCTAATTGACATGACTCACATAACAAACTAGATAAATGGACAAATTGGGAAGAAACTGCTACAATTTGGCAAGACTAGAATGACCTAACTGAGCATGGAGGAGAGATGGAAACTCCATAACTGTGCTAACTGACCATGAGACTCACATCCGGTACCAATCATTTCTTTCGAACTCCGGTAATCTTTAGTGAAAGAAATAAACAATAAAAAAAATGGGTTAGACGACTAATAGATAATAAGTTAAAAAGAGATCTGAGGACATAAAGAACATTATCAATAGATAAATATGGAAAAAGATTAACAGTACCAATACCATGAGATAAGACCCTAGACCCATCAGTCATTGTAACCTAAGATAAATTATCCGAATAGGATAAAGAAGAAAACAAAGATTTGTTACCAGTAATATGATTTGTGATGCCTGAGTTAAGAACCTAAGGTCCAAGAGAAGGAGATAGAGTTAGACCAACAAAAGATGTACCTGTGGGTGCAACAAAAGCAATGGAAATAGTGTTTTGATGATTCTCATAATATTTGAAAAATTAATTGAAAATAATATATTTGTTTGTGGTATAAGATGAAGTAGGATCCACAGTAGATGATTGTGAGGGAGGATTAGTTTGGACAACTGCAAACTGCAATAGATCGAGGAGGACGACCATGTAATGCATAACACCTGTCAATCTTGTCGCCTAGCTTGTAACAATGGTCGCACTTGTGACGCCCATTTCCTGGCTTGCGAGAGCAATTGGGATCATCACGTTGAGATGCCAAAGCAAGAGAATCATCGATGGAAGCAGGTATATCAATGATGTGTTTACTTGGCACATGCAAAAGGGTGGAATAAGTAAAAGTAAAATTGGGCACAATAAGGGACTCCAAAATTTGATCACGGACATGAGATTATTCATCAACAAATCCATGTAATGCCAACAACATGAAGAAATGTGACTGTTGCTCTAGTTCTTGGGCAGAGGTACAGGCAGGAGGTAATCACTCATTAATGTCATGATGAAGAGCATGGATTTTATCCAAATATTCAACCATTGGATCATGACTTCGAGGATCAACAACAGTGAGAAGATCGTGACAAACACCGTAAAGACATTGAGTATCATTGGTGTATAATAACTTTGTCTGTTCCCAAACTTCGGAACACGTTTTGTAGGCACGAAACATTTGTTTTAAAGAGTGAATGGTAGGCTTGAGAACGATGTATAACTGAGCATCAATCTTTATCTAGTAGGAAACTTAACCACTAGCAATAGTAGTCACACTCTGAGTAAGATGATCAACATACTCCTGACTCTTAAGTCAAAGTTTAATGTCTGACGCCTAAGTCACATAATTAATGTCATCTAACTTATCAATAGACAAGTGCACATTCACATAATTAATATAGACTAATGGATCAGACATATTGGTGGCAGAAGAAGAGATATCAGAAAGGCAATGGAAGAAGCCATGAAAGAAGAGAGAGAAAAACCCTAAAAAAAGAATAACAAAGAGGTTGGATCAAATAAACAAGGCTAGATCCAGAAAGAGGGAGAGAGGCGAGTCTAGTGATGGTGATCGCAATCGAAGAAGGCCTATCACACGCCACCACGCATAGCGAAAAATGGTTGCTGCACGAAAACTTTGGACAACGCCTGGACACTCTAATTGCAGTGATCTCAATGATGTGGTGGTCTCCTGACTGAGACGAGCAGAATGATCTGGTCGGCGGTTTGAACTATAACTCTGACAACGGTGGCGGCTCCACAAAGGTAGGTGCAAGGGTAGCTGCGACGTAAATTAAAAAAAAAAAAAAACAGAGAACCTAAACTCTAGATACCATGTTGAATATAGTGAAAACTAGGTATAGAGTTAGTCTCTCTTGTGTGTAAAACACACATAAGGTAATATATTTATAATGAAGAGTAATCCAGGTAGTGGTAGATCTTGGGAGCTGAGGAGAGCCATGGTCCCCCAAAGTTTTGTAACTCCCATGTAATTTATGATTTTGGCTCCCCCAAACATAATGAATATTTAATATATTTACTTGTATATTTACAATTTTATCCTTTCAGCCTCTCCTCAGTTTTGTAACTCTCATGTAATTTATGGTTTTGTTCTCTCAAACTTAATGATCATTTAATATATTTAAGTATATATCTACAATTTTATCTTTTCACCCTTTCATATTCTTTCTTCCTTTTATATTTATTTATTATTTATTAATAATATATTATTTGGCCTCCCAAGACCAATGTTCAAGATCCGCCACTGAATCCAGGGGAAAATGGCAAATACACATAAATATGGTAATTATAAGATATTGTGACTAACAATATCTAACATCAATTTATCTTATGCAATCTCATCAATAAACATATGCATAAACAAAATAAATCATAAATGTGTTGTATTCGGAGGCAAAGCCAGGCTGCATCTCAAGGGGAGCCAAAGTAAAAAAGGATATATTTTCTTATAGAATAATAAAGTAAAAATGATAAATGATATTTTAGTATAAAATATAATTAAAATTTTAGGGGGAACATGTGACTCCTGCCCCCCCCCCCTCTCCACCACTGGTTGTATTGGAACGAGGCATAACTACACACACATTTACAGGAAAAAAGTGAATATACATTAACAGAAAGAAGTGCTGAAAGAACTATGAAGAAATGAGAAACTAAATCCAATTCACCTAACAAAAAATGTATGACATAAGTTTAAGTAAAGAATCAGTAAACTCAACTGTTTTGGATAGCTCACTGCCCATTTCCATGGTGCGCAAGCACAGAGGAATTATTTCCGTTGAAAGAAGGAAGCTTATAACTTCTGTATCATCAACCTGAAGAACAAAACCAGCCAGAAAAAATTGGTCAAACTTGACAAAAAACACAACATAATAAATATAAATTATAAAAATAAAATAATAAAAAACAGTGATAACGTAACATAAACAGTGGGAATACAATTTGTTCCTTAATAGTAGTGAAGAATACATCCTAACAAATTGGATTTGGAGATTTTTGTGGCAAGAATTGCGGTGATAAATTTCTTTAAATATTGCCATATAACGTTTTTTAGTAGATATTTGCACCCAACAGAATGGCAAGGAAGAAATACCTTCACCAATGCACCAATGACACCAAGACTGGTAAGCCTTAAGTACTCAAATGGTCTCGATTTGCTTGTCGTATTAAGGAAGGGATACAGATACAAAGGTATATGAGCTGTAAAGGAGGAAAAGCAAGTGCAAGAATTCATTGTATGAAATATTAAACACTTTATGTACTATCCTTTAACGAGCAAAAACTGTAATGGATATTGTCATGTCAGAAATTCTCATTATTCAATATCAAAAAGGTAATATAAAGCCTAAATGCTTCTAGTCAAACAGGCTGAGATGTGTATAGATATTGGAAAAAAAAATCCAACACAACAAGGTAAAAGTTATGCAGCTAAAAATGGGAAGTCAGGTGCAATGACCTACAGATAGTGGGCGAAAGTAACTTTTTTTAAGCAACACAGGAAGTCCTGATATGAGAAAGACAATGACAAGATTCACTTTCATTCATAGAAGCTATCTATTGGATGGAAGATTTTCAGCAGACCATCTTTTATATCATTCAGGATAAGATATCCTCCAAACCATCTAACAAATCAATTAAAAATAAAACATAGATTAAACCAAAGCAATCGGTAAACAGAATTACAACATATGCAATATATTACAGTGAAAATTTTCAAGCAGAAGGAATTAAATTTACAAAAGGAGAGGATTTTGGCATCTGCTTATGCAGTAAAAATTGATCATAAGTAGAAATCAAATTAAAAGGCTAATATTGACAAATCGTGTAAACACAAAAGGAAAATATTGACAATGCAATCAACCCTGCTAAATCACAAGTCCATTTCCATCTATGATTTAGCTCATCAACTTGAATTGTATTATGCCTATAAAATGCTCATCTAGACATTATAGTTTCCAGAGATTCCTAATTCATTATATTAACCAAATCGGAAAAAGCTGACTGCATCTTTTAAAGCACTAGTGTATGTATTAAAATATTGACACTAACAGAGCATATAAGACAAAGGTGATCAATACAAAATCAAAAAGAAGTCAAAGTCCTTCAGATGAATAAGGAAAGTGACAATACCATTGAGGAATAGCATCCTTGTATCAGGGTGAGATGCTACACACTGAAAAAAGAAATTACAAGGGGAAAAAACTCAGAAACGTCAGTGTACTGTTTATTTTCTTCATAACAAATTTTGAAAGGAGGAAAGTGACAAAAAGATCACAGAAAAAGTATAATAGTTATGGTATGCTCTTTTGCTAAGCAACTGGTTTTCAGAAGAGGTTTTCAACCACACGGACAAAAGAATTCCACAATGTTGTATTGTTAATCATGTTCATAGACAAACCATTGACTTGTAAATCCTTTTTAATTGTTTTGCATATGACTTTTCTGTTTCCCTATACCTGTATTGATAGGGTTATCCTCCATCTGATATTCTCTTCTTAATAAGGCTTTTACAAGTCTTCCCCACAGATGCCCAAACTACCTAAAGCAAGGTTCTAAATTTTTTCTACAAACTGTCCAAAATTTCTCTCTAATGCATTTATTCATAATCCAATTTAATATAATTGGCATTGACTATTCTCCCTTCATGACATTTTTCTGAATTAAAGGTCTGAAAGGGATAGTTTGGTGATCTAGAATATGGTAGTCATATATAACGAAGTTATTCGCTAGTGTGTCTCAGTAAAATACGGTCCACAACTTGATAGGACAAAGTCATCTGACCTGAAGAAGAGCAAGAGCATTACACACTCGATTTGATTGTGCAGGAGTAAGATTTGGTGGTGAAAGAACAGGGTATATTGAAACTATTTCCTGAAACAGAAATAAAAAATCAAGATCATTGTAAGTGGAGGAAAATTGAGAGGAAACTTGCTATTGGAAAACAAAGAACAATAATCCAATGCTTAAAGGAATGAAATAAGACATAATTTTTTTTCAAATGCTTAAAGGAATGAAATAAGACGTAATTTTTTTTAAGGACGTACGAGCTAATAAAAAATGAGTTCAAATTAAATATGGAGAAAAATGAATGCAAGCAAAGACTATAAAATACAACAAACAAATAAAATGAGGACTTACTAATAGCATGTTTAGTTTAGTCAAAGGAAAATGAAGGAAAGGGGAGAAATATTTTAGATTTAAATGTTTTGTTTCATAAAAGTTGGAGGGGGGAGAAAATGAAGGGGCTGAAATCCTTTCCTTCCTATTTGACTCCTCAATATTGGTGAGATTTGGAGCAAAAGGAAAACATGCCTGGAGATTTTATTTTACATGCCATCTCTTCTATTACTAAGAGTACACCGGCAAGTTCTCCATATTTCTTCCCCCCTTCTATTGAACCAAACCAAACAAGGAAACTTCCCCTCCTTATGGCTGAAAAATTGCAGTTTGCAGAGTGTGCCGAGTATAAAAACTTGCTACTAATTACCAAAAACATGATTGGCTAGCTATTAAGACCAATTTATAAAGTCAACAGTTTTAATCAAGTTTTGAGTTATATCATACCATCACCATTTACTGCTATCACCTATCACCATCTCATATCAAAAGATATAACATATCAGAATGAATAGGTAGGCAATAAAAGCATAAGGATAAACAATACAGACAAGGAATATGTAACTTGAGTTAGATAGCATACCTGCAAAAGTGCAGCAATAGTACCGAAAGAATTCCATAACAGAGGAGCAAGATCTTGAAATAGCTCCCTCTTCTAAAATGCAAAAACAAGAAAGAAAAACATTGATCAGGTACCTCTATGAGTGCATCAGAAACGCCAAAAATTTACAAAGAGAGCTTGTAAAAGGCTCAGAGAAAATAAAGAATTGAAGTGAAATGAAAAGCTAACTTGAGATATTGAGAAGAAAAGTCTGAGTTGCACGCATTGGCACTAAACTCTGTGTGTGTGTGTGTGTATATATATATATATATATATATAAAAAGAGCAGTGAGTCCACTGACAAAGAAATCAAAACAAATTGTTCCTATAGATAAGGAGGCTACAATTCAGAATAGGGGAGGAGCAAACAGCTTTTTACAATTACAAGAAGGACATATAATATATTATCTAAAGTTTAAATCTATCACTCCCACTATGTATAGTTCTTTCATGGATACTGGGCTAGAGGTGATGTGAAGGGCTGCTTGGTTGATATAATATAACTTCAGTTGCTGAATATCACAAAATCTTAACCCTTGAAGATGTTTTTTAATCTATATCAACTCACAAATGACTGTGGCCAAAGTTCTACTCTATGATTCTGCGGTAGATTGTGTAATAACATTCTGTTTCTTTCTCTTCCAAGGGATAATATTAGCTCCAACGGATATAAATACCAAATAGTAAATCTCATATCTACAGGGGCTTTTGGCCAATCAGCATTACAATACCCAAATATTTGGATATTCCCTTCATCCTCATAGGCAGATGTTGACCCGAATACTTATCACAACATTCCACCGATAAATATAGGGTACTTGCATAAATTGACTAACAACCAAAACTGCAATATAGTATAGGTCTTGTGCCTGTGAGTTAAATGAGGTACCCCAATCTTTTATATCTCTGCATCAAAATATGGTTCACCTTGATCTACCATACGTTTAATTTGATCCACAGAACTATCAATGGGTTTGCAACTAGTCATGCTTGTTTCCTCCAAAAATATCTAGAGCATACTTTCTATGTGAAAAGACAATAACTTCTTTTTTGATTGAGCCACTTTTACCCCAAGAAAGTATTTCAGGCAACCAAGATCCTTGGTTTGTCATCAACGTTTTTCTGATGGGTGTTGTATACCGCCGAAGTTTTTGTGGAGAATAGTGTTCACTATCAACAATTGTCCAACACGTATTGTTTATCGCCAACATTTTTGTGTGGATATTGTTCAAAATCAATGTTTCTTGGCAACTCGTTCACCATCATTTTTTGACCGGTATTGTTCAACATCAATGTTTTCTTGATGGGTTTTGTTCACCACCGATATTTTTTCGGCTTGTACCACTTAGAGTGAGTCAAAATTTGTCTAGCATGAGCATTTTATCAACGCCATTTTTTGACGAGTATTGTTCACCATTAATGTTTTTTGAAGAGTATTATTCACCATCAATGTTTTTTGAAAAGTATTATTCACCATCAACACATTTCTGATAGTTACTATTCGTTGCTAACCTTTTTCGACAAGTATTGATCGTTGTCAACATTTTTCATCAAGTATTGTTCATCGTTGATGTTATTCCAATGGATACAATTCACCACTAACATTTTTTCGACATGTATTTTGTTCACCATTGACATTTTTCTAGTGTGTCTTCTGACAAATACGTATATTCAAGCTCGAGTGAGTGTTAAAATTATCATTTGTTATTATTTACTCTATCAACTCGAACAATCAACTCACTAACATGATTCTCTCGAGGAACCTTGTGTTAATGACATTCGTAATAAGTTCGTCCCATATGATACATATGCTCCAACTTGAGAAGAAGTGTTAACGCTATGATTTGATTATGTTAGAAATATGAGTTGATTACATTAAATAAGGAGATACGATGTGATTAATAGGGAAATATCTCACCAAATATCTTCCATTATTAGTATTGATTTTGTTCCTTATTATTATATCTCTTCTTCATTATAAACAAGAATATTCATGTGTATACACGACACACGAAATTCCTTCTCAGTTTCTTTCTTCTCATCATGGTACATAATGGTACCATCCTCCATGACCTGTTTTGTCACTAATCCTTTTAACAATGTTTTAAAAATTCTTAATACATTTTTAAATATGTATCTTATTTGTATTAGCTTTATTCTAGAATATGCATATCACCATGCATCATATAGCATCTTACAAAGTAATAAGAAAAAGAGTTTATACTTTCCCTTACTCAAATAAAGAGATAAATATTCTAATATGGTAAATAACTACTGCAATAAACATGCGACATTTCAAAGTACAGCAAAATATTTGACTGCAAAATATTAAGTAACAGTTTGAATATATTTTTGGTCTCCTTTAAATTATTGTATTTTGTTTTTGAAACCCAAAAAATTCTTTAATTTTTTCATCCCACTAAGTTTTTTATTTTATTTTTGGTCCCTAAGGTAGGTTAGATAATCTTTTAAAAATAAAGTGCTTTTTTGAGACAAAAAATAAAACAAAAAATTAATGGGAATGAAAGAGTTAGAAAAACTTACAAAAAACCCAAGACAAAATCCGATGATTTATCAAGGATAAATAGCATATTTAACTCTACCTTATCATAGTGAATTTACGTTTTATTTAGTTTTTATTACTTAATTTATTGTATTTTATTATTCACTTTAATTCCTTATATCATATATTATGCTTTATTTACTTTATTATATTATAATATAAATAACAATTCACAAATAAAATGTTTAAGTCACCCATGTAAATATGACAAAGAGGTGTTGTACTCAAATTGGCCATAACTCGAGATCCCAATAGATCAGAATGAGAGAAAGAAACATACAAGGACCCTAGCCACCAGGTTCTCTATTAGCTAGCACTATCCATGTGGAAGTGAAAAATCGCTATGCTATAACATAACACAGATGAAGGAAGTCGTGAAGCTAATTTCCCTTGAACTTCAAAGTGCCACATAAGTGTGATTGTGATTGCATCTCTCCATGGCTTTTGTGGTGGGTTTAACCAAACCTTGAGAACGTAATGACAGAGTCCATCTCGGGCCTCACTGCCATTATAGCGGTGGCTATTGGTAACACCAATAAGTCCGAACAACAGCTTGCAAGTGGTGGCTGTTGATAACCATAAAAAATCCAAACAACAGCTAGCAAGCAGTGGCTGTTGATAACCATAAAAAATCCAAACAACAGCTAGCAAGCAGTGGCTGTTGATAACCATGGATACATTCAAACAACAGATAGAAAGTGTAGGTCGATGATAAATATCTATAAGTCCAACAGCTATTGATAACCATAGCTGTGGCTATTGATAACCATTGATAAGAACAACAGCAACAGCTAACTAAAATAAACTCTGGTACCATTTTAAAATTTTAGTTTGAGAATAATTCAAGCTCACAAAACTAACTTTAGTATAGAGAATTATCTACCATTGATACACTTATTTGGCAATATCATTTAGTCAACATCTCAAACACACTACTAACATTCAACTATCCCATCTCACTCATGTAGTTAAATCTAACAAAAAGGGAATTAATAATACACATGGCAAAATCATGAAACCATATCCCACCACTACCAATCTTTTTGATTCTGACACGAGTTTTCTGCAGCCCATTTGATGACTAATCTGCTGGTTACCAACAATTTTTGGCATATGACGAGAATTGCACACGGATTAATCTTTACCCACCACTTCATAGTCCCACTAATACATACAAAGTGACCTCACCTCTTTCTACCTTTTCTTCTCAAACAAAAACCAAAATGATAAAAAAAAAAAACAGAGAGACACACACAAGCATGGGAAACACTGCAAATTGACCTCATCTCTTTCTGCCTTTTCTTCTCAAGCAAAAACCAAAATGATTAAAAAATAATAATTAAACATACACATAAACAAAGGAAACAAAGCTTCAATATGCCCAAGACCAACACCCTAAACCTCATCAACAGCACAATGCCTTAACTGTTAATTAACACAGAAAAATCGAGAGGATAAAAGTTGTAATTCATATTCAAAAACAGAAAAACAAAACAAACAATTACATAAATAAATAAAAGGAACCCTAACTACATACTCAGAAAATAAAAAAACAGAGACTCCAATCTTCAATTCACCGTCACAGCAATTCAATAAACCAAAAATTGAAGCAGAAACTTGAAAAAAATAAGTAAAAAGGATTTACCTTGGAGAGTTCCAGAAGAGCATTTTCACGGAGTTCAGGGTTGCTGAGTTCCAGTACGAGTTGCTCCGCCGATGCCATCTTCCGATCCTTTCCAGCACCAGAGCCCTGTGCCCCGGCCCCACTCGGAGTTGGCGGCGGAGCACCCCCGCCGCCAAAGGCCGCACCCATAGACAGTGATTGGGGCAAATTCGACATTTCGTACTCACAACTTACTTTGCTTTGAGTCTGTTCTCTTTTTCTTTCTGATACTTCCAAAGATAACACACTGAGCCACCTTAACTACAGTGATGAAAACGGTTTTAATTTTATATTTTGGAGATTTTTACGTTTGAAGGTACACGTGTCTTTCATGCAACTAAATGGAAATGCAAAAGAAACAAACAAAATGGTTTGTCAAACATGTGATTGTTTTGAAGGAATTTTCATGTTGTATTCAAAGGAATATTAAAGAGGAAGAAAAAAGGAACAAAAATAAATTAATAGGATTTATGTTTTATTTATTTATTTAATGTATTAAATAATGAAAATATATATTAAAAGTTTAGAAAATTGATTTTTTTATGGATATGCAATATTTTAAAAAATGTTTTTGAACATGTTTTTACTCTTTAAGTGAATTTTAATTTTGATTTTTATAAATTTTTCTTTAATTTTTTTTATCTTGTGTCAATTTCAGTGACCATTTTAATATATATATATATATATATATATATATATATATATATATATATATATATAATCCTTCTACTGTAATATTTGTGAGTATAATAATTTGACATGAAAAAGTGTAATTTGTGAATTATGTATTAATTTTTTTAAAATTTATTTTTGTTTTTTATTTCTATTTTTTAAATATATTTATTTTTTTCACATATCATATTTTTTTCTTTTGTATATTTACTAATATATAAATTATAATAACTATTATTTTTAATTATGGTATTTTTATTTTTTTACTTTCTAATAACAAAAAAAGTTAAAAAATATTTTTTATATATAATTATTATAGATTACTTACTTGAAACACATTACTAAAACGTTTGTGTCAAAAAAATTTACGATTAATTTCTCTTAAAATATTATTTTAAATTTTATTATAATTTTTTTATTTTTTAAATATATCTACTTTTTATTTAAAATATACATATATATATATAAATTATTGTAACTGTTTTTTTTAAATTGAAATATTTTTATTTTTCTCTCTAATACCAAAATATCGGTTAAAAAATCCTTTATAAATAATTGTAAATATATATATATAATTAATAGATTATATATGAATTTTATTTTAATTTTTATAGAATATATTTTTATCTCTAATATTTCTAGTTTTAAAAATGTTTTTTTTATCTAATATTCGTTAATATTTTTTAATTGTTTGTGTATTTAATGAAAAGTCAATTAATTATTTTAAATATATTTAATGTTATAACTTTTAAAAAAAGCCAATTGGTAGTTACAAATGTTTTTCTCTTTTTAATATAATATTAGGTTTTAAAAATAAAATATTAAAAAATATGTTTATTTTATAGATATTAAAAATATCTATGTAATTTGTGAATTATATATTACTTTTTATTTTTTTTATTTTTTCTTTCTATTTTTTTTTTCAAATATCATTTTTTTATTTTTATATTTATTATTTTTTAAATATATAAATTATAATAACTATTATTTTTAATTATGATTTTTTATTTTTTTAGTTTAAAAAATTTAAAAAGAATTATATATATATATATATATAATTATTATAGATTACTAGTTGAAACACATGACTAAAACGTTTGTTGTCAATTTTTTTTAAGATTAATTTCTTTTAAAATATTATTTTATTTTTTCTTTTCATTCTTTAAATATATTTTTTCATATTTTTATTATTTTTTAAATATATAAATCATGATAACTATTATTTTTTAAATTATAATATTTGTATTTATCTCTAAGTCAAAACATCAGTTACAAAAAGAATTTTTATAAATAATTATATATATATATATATAATTAATAGATTATAGATAAATTTTACTTTAATTTTTATAAAATATTTTTTATCTCTAATATTTCTAGTTTTAAAAATGTTTTTCTTATTTAATATTCGTTAATATTTTTTAACTGTTTGTGTATTTAATGAAAAGTCAATTAATGATTTTAAATATATATAACGTTATAATTTTTAAAATATATATTATTTATGAATTGGTAGTTACAAAAAAAAATTTCTCTCTTAATATAATATTAGGTTTTATAAATAACATATTAAAAAATATGTTTATTTTATAGAAATTAAAAATATTTATAATATTAGAATTTCTTTATAAGAATAATTTAACTTCAATTTCTTAACTTGTATATATAAATATTAATATATTATTTAATTAATTATAGTAATATAATAGAATTGTAGTGCTTATATAAATACGTTGTATGTAACGTATATTTTATAATGTAAAGAATACTTAAATTGTTGACGGAAATATTTTTATATCAATAAATTTGATCAAATTTAAAATACTTAATTATATTAAATTAATATCATAATTGAATAATTTTTTCTTAAATTTGTTTTCATATATTTAAAATTATATGTTCTAAATTAATAAAATAATTACTTAAAGCCTCAAAACAAAAAAGTATTTTACATTACCTATGATTTATAATATTTAACTTATAATATATGAATTTATTATTATTGATAATTAATTCATAACAATTTCATATCTGCGTGACAAATAACATAATTTGAAACTACACTTACATTCTTGAAACAACCATTTTTAATTATTTTTTTATTTTCTTAAATATAGTATTTTTATCTAAAAATTGTTTAATTTCATTTTCCCTATTAATGTAACAACCAAAATACATAATATAGAGGGTGACTTTTATTGTGGCAAGAGCTATAAAATCACTACACACTCTTCATTTACTAAAGAGGAATGTAGCATTTTCAAAAAAATCATAACATATTAGTGTTCATTGTCTTGTAATAATTTATTACATATTAATGTTTATTGTCTTATAATGTTGATACGAAACTAATTTTTCATTCTGCTATTTTACATAGCTAGTTTTCAATGTCTGCTGTGATGGAAATTCACATGGACTGAAAAATATACAAACTATTCAGGTATAAATGCAACTGAAGGTAAAAAAAAAAAATCATTCCTTGTGCAACTAATAGCTTTAGTTACTGCAGTCAACAATCACTACCATTTCCTTCATGAATATACTGTTAAAAGAATTCTATTGCAAATTCCTCCTCTTTTAAATCACCTCATAGCCTCAAGTAAACTCTCCACAGAACCTAGCACATTTGTGGTAGATGAATTAGTATGGTTTACAAGCATGATCCTATGTTTATGCAATTGTAACATGAAGTGTCACATTTCAATTTTCAATATCTTGCATCTTCAAAGGTTTGCCATAGATATAGTCCACAAACCAGCTTTGTTAACCATGGAAAGGTTTGCCATTAACCCTTTCAATTGACATCTGCAAGAAGTTGCAGATGTACACGTATGCTGAGGGTCATATCTGATCTTATACTTTCTCATATTGATAGAGATACCAAAGAGCATTCCACGGTAAAATGTCAGAAAATCTGGCTGAAAGTTACTCCAAGGATGCAGTGTATTTATATTCTTAAAATCCGCCTTAATTTGTAAACCTGAAAAGGTCAAAGTCCTTGCGCTTAGTACTGTCAAGTGTCAAGCAAGCTGGTCTATAAAGAGATGCATATTACATGTCCAGGGATAAAGCTACAAAAGTTTAAACTTCAGGTCCAACAAAAAAAAATTATTTGCTATTAGTCATAGGGTCCTTGGGAATAAACTAAAAATTGTAAAAACAGATTTATGAACCTGAGCAGTTCTGCTGGGTAGTGACACCTCTAAGCAGTTTCGAAGGCCATCAACTCTGTCAATAGTCAACACATTGGTTGCACACATTAAAGATACAAACGGAAAGGTACAAGTACAAATGACTATCCTTAAAATGGAAAAAGGATGGAAGACAAGAGTTTCAAAAGCATGAGTACCTTTTGCTGATAGTTTTTAGAAAATAATAGTTTTCTTTAAGGTTCCCTTGACCTCCATACTTTTTATCATCTGTGTTCAGAATAATCTGCACCAAAAAAAGTGCCAACAAAAATTAGTTATAGGCCTAAAACCAGAAGATTAAAAAGTTTGACCTTCAGATAGATTAAAATATGCAAAGCTAGCAGTGCATGGATAAAAACAAAACAAAATAACATGAGAACTTTACTAATTTCACGATGAAATGAAACTTACTTGATACTCCCCAGCTTCTTCTACACCTATGCTGTAACTGTCATAAGACTCTTTTGGATGAAAATTGAATATAAAGACAAGGGGACCTCTGATGTAAGATATGACCTGCAAATAATGGTAGCGTTTACTTTATTACATACATTATTGATTGACACCAGTTGGCATGGTATAACATTAACCACTTAAAATATATATAGCACAAATATGCCATTGGCTTGTATATATAAACAGAAGAAAACAATGTTTGATGATGTCATTAGATAAATGAAGAAAAAAACATATCCATTGAACTGTCAATGAATATGCCAGAAAGCAATTATAATGAAAATTAGTCACCAGTTATCTTAAAGAGAAAAAAAAAAAATTAATATACCATTGAACTATCATTCACATGGTGAATGTTTGGAAAACCTCGAGACTGCACTCTATGATTTTCATCCAGCTTCATCATGTCCTGAAAGTAGGATACATCTAATGTCATTGCTTTGCATTTTAACTTCTCTCTATTTGCTTACAGGCCTGTTACAAACATTAAGTCTGAATCTAAAAGAAAACTTCATGACAAATATCATTAAAAGAAATTTATTAAATATCAACAAATTTAGAGACAGAAAATATTTAGTCATTATATTGACTACATTAGAAACTATTTAATTAAAATGGTTTCTAATTTTGAAACTAAATTAGTTGCTAACATTGAATTAAAATCTAAATTGGTCTCTAACTACCAAGATTTTAGTTACTAATTGAAAATTAGACTGTAAAATAGTGACCAATTTTCAATTAGTAGCTAAAATAGTTTAAATTCCTGTTTAGAAACCAATCTAGCCAAAATAGTTTCTAATTTAATATATAATGACTATATTTTTGTGTCGCTAAATTAGTCGATATTTAATCAATTTC